GCAGTACTGAACGGGTTACTTTGTATAGTCCGCAATCTAGCGGTGTCAGGTGTTTTAAAAATTGAAACCGCCGTTCTCAGTGTTCCCGCTCCAAAAGGTAGTTCATATCGGCCCAAGCCCAATCATGGTTATACATATTTCATTGCGATTCACTATATCTACTACTGAAACCTAATCACCGTAACTCTGTTGGTCCAGATTATAAAAATTGACAACCATGAAATCAACCATAGAACAGTAGATCGGTTACTTGGTAGTGAGTGGACCGCTTCAGTCATCAGCTGAAGGAAAGCGGGAGACCGAACGCTGGAACGACACGGACGTCTTCTTCCTCGGTGTGTCATTTTTAGGGTTACCGGCCGCTTATGTGGTCTGTACCGTGGCCTTCATTCAGCGAGGTTTCGATCATCAGCAAGATTCAGTCTCACAAACCATTTCGAGCTACCAATCTGCTATTTTGTCTCCCGAGTCCTGACTCATCCATGCGCCTTCTCGGTCAACCGTGAATACCGGGGTACAGTCCCATCCTATCACACATCCCGTTGCTTTGTATGTGATCCTCGCCACGTCTTACCTCTGGAGCATGGCTACCCTGATAGCTCTCTCCCAAGCAGCTACGATTCTGGTACCATATGAAACTCTTTTTGACTGTGATTGACCTCATAAGGATAAGGTGGTAACTCTATCGTGTTCTCCTCGGCGTTCTTTAGGTTAGTCTTAAATGGATGGTGTGCACCAGCCTTTCTGAATTACGAGTCGTCCTTACGGGGACAAAAGCTGAGTGGCCCACGTCTTGCACTACTTCACACTCTCATGTGCAGCGCGTGACCGGTCCGGTATTTCAGCCTGGGCCGTTGTGAGTCCTCGTGATAATTCATATAGAGTCAATCTTACTGCACGGTGAAATTTACAGTGTTCTACCCGGAACGTGCGGTTGATGGTTTCAATATGAACAACGCCTAATCAATTTCATAGTGAACGTAATGAGTTTGCAGATCATACTGTGAACTCTAAACACACTGTTCGATTGCCGTGGGGTCACGGCTAGCTCGGACCGTCTGTATACTTAGTGACTTACCTTTCCCTTCACTTGCTTACTCTGTTCTTGTGCGCCGCACTGAGGCACTGTGTAAATTGTCACTCACGTTGTGTTTAAGCTTAAACCAATCTTTATCACCATTGTGCATATTATCCCTATCCATAATGGTGGTCGGTCAATGACGCGAGTGAACTCCGAACTGACCACGATTGGTTGCATCGATAGCCCCAAACTATCCTCGCACACCAAGATAGTGGTTACAGAAGTGTACTAAATGAAACGTTGATTCAGATGTGTTTGTAGTATAAAATGGCCCTTAGTAGCTTTTTGATCGAGACCCAGACTGTATTGTGATTCTTCAGGTATCACGTACGATGGTGGCAGAGGAATACTCCGCTAGCTTTTGGTGAACAGTCTTGAACATCTTTGAACGCTCTGTAGCTTACGATTTGCACACTGCCGGACACTTGGGGAATGTGGAAAGCAATGTTGACGAGCTTTGCGATACTGATCCAGTTAGGTGCACATCCGAGGACATACCGATTGCTTACGTTCAGGTGCGTCCCTGACGATGAACCGATTAGGATAATGCAAGTCTGGACTCTCAATGGCTGTGCTGATAAACCGGATCTTTCTCAACTAATCGGAAGATTTCTTGAGTACCGTGAAGGTCGGTTAGACTTTTCTGCTCGCTCCTGCCGATCGGCCACTTAACACTGAAGTCAGCAAGAGGCGCTAAAGCTTTTACTAAGTACTATGAAACAGCATGCACGGCTGGAATGCGTTTGTGTAACACCGCCATTCGACGATGTCCACTGCCATTACACCTGGATTCATGGGTCGCCGTCTACATGGTCGGCGGCAACCATTTCCAGATTTGCCTGTCACTGCGACCTATACGGGGACAGTAACCGGACGCCTGCACCCATAGAGGGACCAGGGATAACTTGCGCTGAACCACCCACAACTCTATCCACACACCCCATATATAGTGTAAACCCGAAGGAATAAGATCGAGAAACATGTAGATGGGAGCTACGTTTCATCAATGTAGCCGGCCCACACTCCTTCACATGCAAACACAAGCACGGTGTATGTGGAGAATCAAGCGCACACAAGGCGGTGGCTGGACTGTAGTCCGCTCCTCACTGAGTGCGTGAAACCATTCTTCGAGCCTAGCACGACCACAAGGCCCATGCACCCCCTTCCCTCTAGCGACGACCAACTGTCTCCTGGAGCCAGTATGAACGAGGTAGTGTGCAAAGACAGGTGGGCACTTTGTAAACATGCACATCAAGCACAGCCACACCGGGGATATCAAGCAACATCCAATCACTTGAAACGACGATATTAAGTAAAATAAAGCGAATGATGCCTACAGATACGGTGACATAACTCTTCATTAGATGAGCATCTTAAATAAACTGGTTACAAAAACCCGCGCATGGTTCACTACCTCAGAAAACGTTATCGAAGTTGACTACAGTTAGCTTAACCAACGTGTGCAAGTTTATAGAAGAAGTTCAGATAGACATTAAAATAAAAAAGCATTAGGACTATATAAGAAGCCCATTACCTCAAATAAAAAGACTGCATGCAAGCACGCGGTTAGTAAATCGAATGCAGCGTACCTACAAACACTGCGCTGGCTCTGCGTATGTTCTCTGCAGCACTTGTCGTCGCTTCGGTAGTGGCCCCGAGTGCCCTCACTCATGGCTCACTAGGTCTGGCTGACTCAGGCACCACAACCACATGTGCTACAGCACCACGCGCTCGCTGTCGATGGAGTACAACCCATCGGCCTCTGTCACTTCCGCAATTGCCGTTTCTCTGCATGCATGAAGTCTTTCTCCTGCACCTTGGCAACTACTTTCGTATTTAGATCGTGCCATGCGCGCCGATCAACCGCTTTCGATTCCCTTGACTTGCAGTCAAGATTAAGACGTGATAGGCTCACTTTGATCATCTCCTGGTAACGTCGACACCGACACACTTGCGGTTTCGCTGCTGAGCAAGTTCTCTCTGCGTCTCATCCAATGTCGGTGTGTCCGCCAGACTCTCCTTCACATCGTTCTGCTTCAAGCCGTTCAGAGTAAACCAGTCGATCTCTGAACGGCTGTTCAAGGGACAGCCAAAATATTTTGCCATGTCTGAATTATGTCTGCAATCTGTGTGCTGTTAGCGCCTGAGCTACCATCGATTAGACCCCTAAACTGCTCCAATCGCGGTCTATACACCGCCTTCAAGGAGTCAAAGCATTCCTTGTGTTGACAGCGTTCGGCGTAGCATTCCATCTGCTTCGCCTTCTCCATCCACCATGCATTTTGAATGCGACGGAACTCTCGGGTCATTCGCCGTGTAAGTTCTCGAAACGGACTATTCTTCTCCAAGTCACTACGGTCTGCCATATGTGCAGCAAATGCTGCACTCTTCTCTGCAACCAATGCGCCAACCATCGCATTGTTCTCATCAAACCAATCAGGCCGCTTACACTTTGCGCGCCCTATGGACTCGGCAGCAACTGTCACCTGGTCGCGAATGTGGTGCCACAGGTCGCGCACTGCGGCTGTGCATTCCACATCACACAGTCGTGCAGTCATCGCCTTCTCCAGCTCAATACATTTCGCCACAGTTCCGAGGGAGAGGACGTTAAAGTTACGTCGATTCACGGCTGGAGTGCAATACATAGATTTACGACAATATATGTACAGTTTGATCCGCACCAATTGGTGATCAGTACCACACTCAGCTCCACGCAGCACACGTGTCATGAGCAATTCACGCAAATCGCGCTGACGTACGATGACATAGTCGAACAGGTGAGCGTAACCACTCCGTTGATGCGTCTAAATAGCTATATCACTCGCACTCAGTGCAAACCGAGTGTTCGTGCTCGTCAGGCCATGAGTGACACACAGTGAGAGCAGCCTGTCGCCGTTCGCATTCGTTGAACCAATGTCATGCGGACCGATAACATCTGTCCACACCGATGCATCACGCCCAACGCGCGCGTTGTAATCATCCAGCAAAACTGGTCGGTCGCTCTTTGGCACAGGCCGTATCACGAAGGATAGCTGCGTGTAAAATTGATCCCTCGTATTATCAGGATAACACATGGTCGGACCGTACGTGCTTATAAAAGTAGCAAGCTTACCTCTTCCGAGTCATAGGCGAACAGTCATCAGTCGCGCGCTGATGCCTGTTGGTTCACCCACCAGCTGGCCATGGAGGCGATCGGATATTGCAAATCCGACTCCATGTTCACGTGGTGCTGAGGCGGCGTTGCCTACCCAGTGGAATGTGTAGCTAGCACCTGCTTCATGCCACTTACCTTGCTCAGCGAGCCGGGTTTCACTGAGCGCCGCAATATCGATGAGTTAGGGCACCAGTTCCATCGCGACTAGTGCAGTGCGTCACTCGGGGCGCTCACTCGTATTCCGGTCTAGTAGTGTGCGCAGGTTCCAGCACCCGATGCTGAGTGCTTTGCGCGTAGGCATACGACTGCATCGGTGGACAATCGCACGCGGGGTGGCGGTTGTGCTTTGGAGGTTTGCTTAAGGGACTCCACCCAGAGCCTTTGGCTCATATATATATATATATATATATATATATATATATATATATGTACAAATATATAAAAGATGACGTAATTAGTAGTGTATGTGAAATTAATTTAGATCGCGTTTTAGTTTTGTTCCTTTGAAGGCCACTGAATACTATCTGCACTACGTTTTTCTGTTAATCCATGCAGAAACATTTCCATTAACATACACTAGTTTCCCTCTGCGCGATATTTCATCAAAGCCTGGGTTTCACGGCAGTTTACTAATGCCCCTCAGCGTGTCCCCCTTTTTTGATTCTCTGCTTGGCTCCCTAGTGTGTTAGTGCTTTTTTCGCGCTTAATTCTAAGCGCTGCGTTTACGGCACTAATCAAGCTTGAAGAGCCGTTTGTTCACTATTTATGTTGGCAGATGCGGCTTTCCTTTATATTTTATTAAGGGCTTCGGTCTCCACTTTCTCAGTGCGCCGGGAAGCTTGTCATGGATGGTTCAGGCTGTTGTTTTCACTTTATTTCGTCTTTTTTGCATCCAACTTTCGTTCTTTAGAATTCGTCGCCAGTCTTTTGGATGCACTGCCTGCAAAATCCTCTTCCGCTTGGATTGGCCTCCGACGCAACTTGTCGGACGAATCGCCTCAGTTTCATTGGGCAGACACCGACAAGGTAGAATTCCTTCGGCCAGTTTATCATGCGCAGAATGTGCCCGTGATTCACCTAGCGCACATTGGGAACGCTTCAACCAGCGATATCGATTTGACGGTGAGTCAGGTGACATGTTTTCCTATGAAGTACACCTTTTTCAGTTGTTTGATTGCCATAATCCCTTGAAACAGCCTACAACATCGCCGCTTTTCGAAGTAGACCATCGTTGACTCTTTTTTGCTCAAATCACTCTTAGGAAGTCGCTTGTTCACCATCTTGAGAAAATGTTGATTTTCCCCCGCCCCTAGGTATTTTTTCCTTAGGTTCATACTATTTCCGATTTTTTAACACTCCGGGCCGAGTATCGTTTGTATGAAAATGATGATTAAATTCACCCATGCGGGATTACCTTGATCACTGTCCATTTTCCCAAAGGGTCTTCCAGCCAACGGATCACCGTAAACTCCGCATTCCGAGCAGACACGTGCTTTTCTGTCTGTCCATTAATCTAAGCGACTTCACTTTGGTTTTGTACACAGGGCATTTGTGCATGGGCCGCATACACGATTTAGGTTGTGGTATCGAACGATTACGACGAAGTTGCGCTGCATGCATTTTATGGCATCTGGTGGATGCGCGCTACTAACGAGTCCCAAGGGAACGAAGCAGTCCTCTACGCTTTGCCTTGATGTGTGGCAACTATCTGCTCTGGTCTTACTGCGAAGTACCTAGCCGTACCAACATGGATAGATTCGACTCCTAAGTTGCCGCGCTTCATGTGCCTAACTACTACACCCCATACCTTCCTTGAAGGACCTGAGAGTACTCTTACTTTGTGCGTTGAAGGCCGTTGACAACATGAACAGGCTATATCGTTCCGGACTGCGCATGCTCCGGACACTTAAACTCAGTTACTGCATCTGATCCTAAGAGGTTGTTACGCGCCTCTTCTCCTCCATCATCAGACCAGTGCTGGAGTACGGCTCGCCCATCTATTGCCCGACCACTCGCGGCGAGGCGCAGAAGATTGCACGGATTCAACATGTTGCTACCAAGATCATCCCGTTTACGATGCTTGCTGTACGAGGACAGGTGCGAGAGGCTGGGACTACACTGTGGTCTATCGTCAGTTACGAGTCGACCTTGTCATGACCTACCGAATTATGCATGTGGGCGACTTCCCCATACTAAAGCCACTGCTCCGCTTACGAGCGTCTTACAGCACACGTGGACACCAGTACAAACTTGTGCTCCCATATCTGAAGCGGGTTTCCCATCCCCTGGGCTTGGAACGGCGCGTGGTAAATGTCTGGAATGGGTTGCCGGAACATATAATGGAAACGAACTCAGTGCAGCAGGTCACACAATCGTTGGATGTACATTAATCAAATGTAATTTCTGACAACGAATACCCACAGATATCTCAGTTTTTAATCCTAATTCACTGTGAGTTAAACGGTTTTTTGACGATATCACGTGAGAACAGAGTGTTACTAGATCACGATTTGTTTTTTTACCGTTTTTGATCATATTTCGCTGGCGTTGTACAGATTCAAACTTCTACTTGCTCCTACAATACAGTATTCAGCATAAAAAGGCATCAGCAATACGCCGGTACGCAGTACCGACGTTTCACTACCGCGCAACCACTTTTGGTCGCACATGGGCTAAGGATATTGCGAGGGTTTCCCTGCTCCTACGCAGGCTAGAACCCGCGCCACCAAATTACAAGACAAGCTCGGTACCTTTGGGCTACTGGGCAGGAGTATTCAATAACTTGTTATACTAGAAGTAGTAAGCACATCGGTCGAACAAAAAGGAAGATATTTTGAAAAAATCATTGCAGCTACACAGACTACATACATCTGCGAAAGCGCTAGACTACCGTTTCCTCTTGTTTGTTCTCACCTGTAACACTTATCTGCGCGATTCGAACCCTACTCCTTACGAGTCAGCGACTCATGCCGTTGCGATATATCGCAGTTAGCAATCACTCGTGCTGGTCCAGTACCGTTACCCATGACTGGAAGTGTGTGTTGATCAATTATTCTAATCCAAACATTGGCTGGCACACTGCTAGAATCAAACTTGAACACGAGAGCGCACGATATCGGTTCAGATCACCTCATTCACCACAGCCCCTCCCACGGAACGGATTTAAACAGAGACGGATGTTTTCCTGTGTGATAGTTTCTTCTCCCGGGTTATGCGTCTGAATTCCTGCTGCTCACGAAAACACGCGAAGTCATGGTCGAATCCACACCTACCTTCTATGCCGTGATCTTTATTCTGGGTGACAATACACAAAGGTATCCGTTTCATTGACGGTGGATTTCTGCGACATCACGCCTAGTGGTCACGCAGGTGATCCCGATACCCCATGATCATACCGGGCCGAGTAATCTCATCGGAAATTCTCCTGTTTATCACCGTTCGTTTAGCTCTTGTGAACGGCACTTTGCGCTTGGAAGGCCATCTCACTTGATTCGAACTATTTTGTCCCCAAATGCACTCCGAGTTCCATAAGACTATGCGAGCTGACTGGTGGGTTACTGAGTCAAGTGCTGTGGCAATCGCAACCAGTGTGTCCTGCATAGATCCTGGTTGAATCATTACTACCTCTGAGATCATGTGGAGAGCGTTTGTGGGTGACCTCACTCAACACGCAAGATCTCCCCACTTGACGGTGAACTTGGTCGGTGCAGTTAAACGGCGGTCGGACTTATGCATCATTGTACTCATTCGCTGTACTTCGGTGAAAATGCACTGTCAGTTTTTACAGGTGGTCCATCTCTGAAATCTCGCTCCTCTCTTGATATACCAGTCAGTACGTTTTCTTAACTTAGCATAGTTCCCCACATAACTTCTCTGTGCCTCTCCCTCTGGCTTACTATTTGAGACCGTTCCTGCTCTACATTTTGTGTTACAAACGAACGAAGTGTACCGAATGCTGTGCTCGATGAGGATAACGCTGGCCAACTGCCTTGCCCATGAAATTGCTGTTCTTTGGAGTCCAATCCCTGCTTTCCTTTCCCCTCCTTGTTCGAAAAGAGAAGCGCAAGAAGTAGCAAGTTCTCATGGACTCTTAGATTTTACTTCTAAAGTTTGTCCGCTCTCCTCTGGGGCTATGCATCTCTGTTGCTCATTGTTTCTGCCCGTCCTATGGACATGTTTCTCTTCTTATTGTAAATCACTCCACCGTTTCCTTCTGGTCGAAATTGTGATCCAAGTGCCACCATTCTGGCACTCAGCTGATCGTGCGATACCTTTGTCCACTTACCCTTCATGATGGGCGACAGGTATGTTCGTCAAATTTAATTTCACGATAACGAGTGTTATGAACTGCGAACTGTTTCTGCCATCACCCTCTCGCGCGCGTTGTTTCCTTTTGTCCCCTGTTGTATACTTGTATTCATGACGCAACCTTCCGGTTTCAGCTCCTACCTCAATTGTGTACCGCTCTGTATCGATCCACCTATCCTCGCCTCAATGGTTTGTGGCTTCAATGGTCCTGCGAAGAGGCCATTCTGCTTCCCAGTATTTGCCAAGCAGTTCCCCCAGCAGGCATGGATTGGGACAACGTTGTGCGGAATACTGGATCTTATGAATGTCCGACCGGATTCTATCTGGGGACCACTGGTCTATCTGCGTCCGCTGCCAGTCTGACTGGTCCCGTGTGCTACCGGCTTCTCAGTGCGACGGTGACATTTGATTGGAAGGTGAGTGCCCTGCTTTTGCTTTTGTTGTGTGTTGCCCATTGTCGACGTCACTGTGAAGGTTGACGTTCAGGCTACATCGACAGAAGTCTTTAGCCGGACAATTGCATGGGCTAAGAAAATATCCTGGTATTGTTGTACTTAACGACCTCACTGGGCGACCGTTTTTCCTCGAATCAACAGCGGCTATGTCTACTCATTTGTTTAAGGCCCTATCGACAATTGTCATGTATCCACCGGTAGCAGCAGCATAACCGTGAATCGTTCATTTAATCACAGCGACCCTATCAAACGGTTTCTTTGTTTTATCTGGTCACTTGTACCTACTTTTACATCACTGTTCCACATACCATTCTGCCTGAATCACTTCATGCTGCGCGATTTAATGGCACTGGACTGTATGTATGTATTCGACGCGCAACTGCTCAAAGCATGAAAACTTTGGCTGTTATTCTTGCCTCCAAATCGAAGTCATACATGTTCGCATTATTACTGTCCACAAGGACAAGCTGTTGTTATTAATGGCTCAGACGGCCCACAACCTCCATAACCAGACGGAAGAATGCAGGTTACTATGCTCTCTAGGAGTTTCCATCCATAGGTATCAGTATCTACAGTGTGACCGGAGCTCAAAAGCATGGGAACACGTTCGTTCGTGTACTGTTTGCAGTCTCACTCACTGGAGTTTCACAATCCATGCAAACCTAGTGTCCGACCATAGTTCAACTAGTACTGCGACCACGAATTTTCTTCAAACGTCTAGGTGTGAGTGTTGCTCATTGTGAATGTCAGCAACACATAGGCCCTCCAGTTCGTAGTCCTCCTCTGTATGTACAGTTACAAGGCTACAACAGCGTGTGTGTGTGACGGATTCGAAAGAACACTAATGAATCCCTTAGATTGGTCGCCTACCCTCAAGCATTCTCATCTTAAAAGTCAGTGGTAGTGATGACGCCGCTATCGTGAATGGGCTGCGTTCACTCCTGGCTACCAAGCGCTTGCTGCTTACAATATTCCACATTCGTTCGTGCATTCGGCTGAACAAATTGGGTGTGAGGATCGACAATTATACCTGGAGCAATGACTCTACAACACTTCCTCGCTTTGGAATGCAGTTTGGAAATTCGGTGTTCAAAGTCCAACAATCTTGGTTGCAATCACCCACACATTGGCTCCTCCGTGTGATTTGCCTCGGTTCTACTAGGACTGAGGTATGCACATATTGCACTTGAGTTGTATTTTGTTTAATTGTACCGCAGTTAAAGTCATGGTTGAACCAGGGCGTTTCTACATGTTACTCGAGACTCACAATGAATCTGTCGATTGTATAAATAGCTTATCGCCACAGTTGAGTATACAGCCACATATGCCAACGGTTGCGTAATTGGATGTTATGCAGGCTACTTCTTGTAAATTGGCTAAAACAGTCTGAGCACTTTTTCGAAAACCAAATGTAGGACAGGACGCAGTGG